ATGTGGGCTTTAGACATTCCGATCCCAGTAGATACCAAGTTGGGAAGGAACTTGTCGCGGCTATTAAAGAGCTCAACCTACGGGTGTCGTTAGGGTGAGTCAACAAATACCTCGGAGCAGGAGAATCCTGTTGTGATCACTGGTTTTAGCAGCTGCTTCGTCATGTTAGGTTGACAAAGGATGATTATCATGCGCAGGAATTCAAACAAACCGGCATAGGGAAGATGGTTGATAGTGTCGCTGTTTTTGCCACTCCACGTGACACGGATGAGTCCATAGAAAACTTCAATACGGGCCGTTTCGCCGAGGATATGATCAAAGATGTCGTCGAAGCTGGTGTAGATCGCAATAAGCAGATTTTATTCGTAAGTGTACACGACTCCTACAATCTTCAGTACCTTGCTGGCAGCAAGTTGCTGCTTTTCTGCGATAGAGAGTTTTTTTGGAATCACCTCATGCATTGTTGGCGCGTTCGCTGAAACGGACCTCATACCTACTGTGTAGCGTGAAATCCAGTGTTGCTTTTTAGATAACACCAATCGCTTGGGGAACCTCCTCTATGCAGGCATCAACATACTCGAATCTAATCTGCGACTATGGTGTGGACCCCAGGGGCAACGGATCATTCATCTTTCCGGATGGGAGCGGCTACTATTTCTTTTCACAAACTCGTGCAATCGAGGACGGCGACCTGGCCAAGAAGTACGGACTGCATGGCATTGCACTATATGGCAACGATTTTTACTTCGGTGGTGATCTGTACCCTTGGGACACAGACTCCTTGTTTCACGCTATGGTTCAACTCGCGGATGATCCCTCACAGAGCAGTAGGCAGGTATTTCTAAGGGACGTCTCTGAGAGGTAGCCTCTCAAGCTGAGCTCTTATTACATTTCACTTCAATGTCCAGTGGGAGGGTGTGTCCACGACCTTGGATGCATGAGACGTGATGCAATGACAGCTGCTGATGGTCACTAATCATTTTTCTTTTCGCCTTTTTCACATCGAACTGCCGCCAGCTCGACAACACTTCGGCCCATTATATCGCTTATTACGGAAGAAAGCTTTACTTCCCGCGAGGGATGTACTTGAGTTGGAAAGTTGAGGAAGAGTTGAGATACAGTTTCTCAGAAACTGTTGCGGCGCTACTGCTTCATTAACCGGTATATTCAATTCACCAGATTCGGCGATCGGCCTGATTTTCGGACCATTCGTACTCGGAATGTCTAAGATTTGGACCCAAAGTGCTTCAATGAGTTCCAGCAGAGAAGTCGCTACTCAGTAGATATACAAAGTCGTCTCTTTATCAGAGAGTCGACTGAGGAGATTTGCTGCTAGCGGCAGAGAGTAAACTACTCTCGTGGCAATCACGAAGTCGCTCGCCCAAAGATGAAAGTTTTTCCTGCGAGGAAATTCCTGGGGCCGTATACGGATACTGATTCATGAATCTCAGTCCATGATTCAACTTACCCACTGATTCACGCCTCAACTCACACTCA